TTCGGTTGAAAACTCAAGTAAAGCCTTTATGATGTTCCGTTGTGTTTCGAGTACAAAGTTGCACAAATCTATAGGAGCAGCATTGCAATGTAGTTTCTGCCGAGGCCGTCAATTTGGTTTAATTTATTCTATAGATTCAAAAGTGTACTTTTAACAATAAAATTCTAAATCCTCCAAATCTGAAATTGAATAACGCAAATAATTTCATTTTGCTGTGCGCAGTTTTACCTTTGAGATGATTTTATTGATTTCTTACGAGTAATCATTTAATGGGATGATTTGACTGTAAGGACGAAGTAAAAATGAGACGTGATGCAAAGGAAGTCATTTGAATTATTAATTTTGTAAATCAAGTACTTTACAGACAATAAAGCAATAAATAATTATCCATAAGTCCTGGAGATTGTAAGCAAACATCACGAAAATGACCGAATTTAGAAGCCAGCATTAGCGTTATACGAAATACGCCAGCATACTTAAATGCGTAATTATGTGCATTCTACCGTTAAATTCTGAGATTTCTTTTCTCGAGATGTCTTAAAAACAATGCAAAGCTGCACTGGTGGCACGGCGGTGCCTATCATTATATCTTGATTGCGTGATTTTGACATATTAACTCTGCACACAAAATTACTTTCAATGTTTGGTCAGATACGTCTGCTCAAGTCAACATATCTTATGCAAATGACCCTGGTAAAATGGTCCAAACTGCTTCTGAATTTCAATAAGTGAAACCTCGTCATGGGTTTTAAGCTTTTTTGGACGTATTCATCGTAAGTCCCAGACGATGTGAATTGAGATATAATTAATTTTGTGTTGGTTCGGTTAGCGGTTGAACTGAATGTGCGTATGTATACCCGTATGTTCCCTCCACATTGTCATACGGAAGGTGGTAATTTTAAAACTCTTATCTCTTAAAGTCTATGTTTTAAACCGCGTATCTCTTCAAGGGATAATTGTGCTGATATGAGCTTTTTGCCTGCGTATTGAGATTTTCAGTTTTTTGCTGATTTTTAACGCACGTTGCACTGGAAAAAAAACACATTGGATCCAGAGTCTGGACTCTTGAAAACATCAGACTCTCTTGAAAACATCAACTCTTATAAGAAAGGAACCAACCCACATTAAGTTCAAACTGAGAAAAAGAGGTTGGAAGTTTTATCCAGGCTCAATGCAGAAAATAAACTTCCACCTCGATTTTCACAACTGGTTTTTTCTTTCGATTTTCAGATTTTGACAGGAGAAAATAAATGACTACAACTCAGAAACATTCTTAACTCACTTTTTTTCGAAAATTCGGCTTGGTTCCTTTCTGATAAACCCGGTCCATTTTATCGTAAAAGAAGCTCTTCAAATGCGCCTGTCGTTTTCCTGAATGACAAAAAAACAGGCAAAGACAGGTGATTACGGGGCATCGTATTGGGACTAGGGCAAGTGACGCGTCGCGTTATAATTAATCCAGTTTTGGGCGAAGAAAGTCGATCAGTGTGCACACGGCCACGCGAGTAGCGGCAATTTCGTGGTCCACGTCCACACTGGTGCACTGTGACGCGAATTGGAACAGTTTTACTTACGCAATTAAACCGTCGTAGTGCTAAATCGAATGCGCGCGGCTTCAGCATCGCTGAGTCGTGAACTTTCACACTTTTCACTCTTAAGTTCACCGAAATCGAGATCGTTGAGCTTTCGTTCCATGCCCAGTGTCCAGCCTCGATGGATTTGTCAAATCGACCGAAAATTAAGCCGAAAATAATCAATTTCGTTTATCTAAGACTAGTGTTTTGATCGTTGACTCTTAAGGTAGTAATGCGAAGATATATGATCTATTATCATCCATTGTTTTCCTTCAACATAAAGAGGACCTATCACTATTTATACATCCTGTTTCATACATTGTTTGGGTAATCATTTCAGTGCTTTCCCCCTGTAATCTTGTTTTGAAATAGTAAAACAGTAAATAATAACAAGATTCACAGAACTCAAAGGAGACCTCAAGCCCAAGAGTCAAAGTTTTCAAAGAAAGTTTAGCGCTACGAACGGGAGCGGATTTTTCCAAAATAATTCCTAGTTGCTCATTAACGTATAAATTATGACATTGTATGTATTATGCGTGTATTACTCCTGATAACTGCCTGGAAAAGTAAATTTTAATAAGAAATTTTCGATGACGTGAAAGTTCAACATCCAGTTTTAATCAGGCTTATTTTCCTACTTCAGCGTTAAAGTCTCCAAAAAATAAATCAACGGTGAACCATGGATACCTCAGATTTAGGCAATGCTGAGTTATATGTGATTGTCTGTTAATCTCAGCAACATAGAATTTTATTAATTAGGATAAAGTATGTTGGAATCAATTAGGTTAGATTTTGCCAGGTTAGGATAGTTTGGGACTGAAAATGAAAACACGGTGATTTTCATCCGCGCGTGGCAATACTGGACACTAACATCGGGCGACAACTCACCAACGACCGCTTGATTAATCGTATCTGTGCCAATTTGAGCTTTCGCATTATGAAAGTACGTCCACATACCAATCATCATTAATTTTGCGCAAGTCTTTCATTCGAGTCTCATTCATTCGGCATTCATGCACCTCTTTTTCTTCCTCTCCATTTTATCCACAACCAGTATGATTATTGTTGAGTCAGCACTAAAATGGAGTGAAAAGGAGAGTAAACTGAGCAACTGAAGAAGTGCGGCACCAAACTCTCTTATTTCCTGCTCCTCAAGTCGACTGCTACCAAAATGTTGCCTTCGCTGACCAATTAATTAATGGAGAAGCGTGTGCTGGAATAGGTGGTTTGGCTGCTTGAAGAGCATGCATGTTTGATTGATGATGTGCTAAGTTCTCGTCTGCTTCTTAGTTTCTCTAAAGTCACTCTACTTGTCCGAAAGTAAAACCGAGCAGTTTTATTTGGAGTAGTATGAAATGCTAAATCATCCCGATTCCCAAAACAGTGAGCATAGTCTCAAGAGTTGACCGAATGGCGTATGCTTGTTGTATTGTCCGAGACTCTTACATTTCAAATTTTTGCGTATTATTTTATTTGAAAGAACTAGAATTAGATCACTATTTTTTGTGATTGAATTTATATTTTGTAAAACTGTCTAGCCAGTTATGATCAATTTTTTCCATGAAAGTTGCTTTTTTACTCCTGAGGAATACAAAACTTACTTTTTGAAATTCATTCACTTAAAAAGTAAAAAAAAAGGAAAAAAGCAGGTTATGAAGTTGCGCTAAAAAATCGTAAAAATATTCACTAGTATTAATCCTTAAATTTAATTATATTTGTAATGCGTTTCAAGATCCTCGTCTATTTCCTCAATTAATTCTTTTTTTATCAACACCTATTAATAAATTGTTTTAAATTTACGTAAAATAATAAAAAGCACCCACAATTACGATCTCCACGATATTAATACTGGCCTATAATAATAGGCCATACTTCTGTCCTTTTACGTAAAATAATAATTTGTATCAGTTTCGAATAGTCCTGATCGGCCCTCTTGTTATCCATTACATAAATTGAGTCATTAAATAAGTAAGCCAGGTCGTTCGGATCGTGATGAAAATTGGGCGTTCATCCTCCCCCTAATTTTCGAATTCCCGATACCCATAACAATAATTCGAGCAGCAACAAGAACGTGACCGAACTCAAACATCCTATGACATAATTTCCTCGGGAGGATAAAAACCCGTGTTGCCACAACTTCTTTTATTTCCCCATTTTCGAGGATATCACGGGGGATATCCCTGTCATAAAAGTCTGGAGAGTTTGGAATTAAAACAACGGAGAGAATACTTCCCAATAGCAATCCCTCGGCCTTCCGCAAACGTATCATCATTATATAATCTCATAATAGCTCCCGGAATACTCTACGCGCCGCGGAATATCAATTGGGCCACGCGCCGGTATTTTGAAGACATTGCGGCACCTTATTTTTAATCCGACCCACGTGATGAGACTGGGCGATAGTTTTTGTCCCCTCCCGATTTGGGTCGATTTCGAAACGAGGGAAAATTTTTAGTTTATGAAACCGAACGCCGAAATCCATCAAAAACCGCACATCTCGTGACAGGCCTTAAATTGGATCCCGGCTTACATAAAACTACGAGTTTTTGGCTGTGGAAAATCCCGCGTCGGCGGTTTGAAACCGCCAGCCCTCACACTCACAGACAACAGGAGAGGCAGAGGTGTTACTATTGTGTAACCGGGCGGAGGACCGGGGAGCACGGTCGTTAATCTGTTGATTGTTGGAGGTGTTCTGTTTCGTGTGAACCGGTTGAGGTGCACGATGCACTCACGCTCGGGTTTTACGTAACCGGTGAATCATCGCTGCATCATGCACCTATGCACCGTGCACCCGGCGGAGGGCCGTAATAAACCCGGGCGGGCAGACCGCGGAACAACCATGCATGACTCGGAGTAAACTTTTTACTGGTTACAGTCATTAGCCTTCTTTTGAGCATCCGTGCAGTCAAAGGTGCTTGTTAAATTCGACGCAATCCTGCGGGCTTTTAATGATGTGCTGTCGTACGTAACGTCGTAGAAAAGGCCACAAAGAATGAATTATATCATTTCTATTTATTTCCTAAAACACGTCTTCGTAGGTGTTTAATTGATTATAGTTAGGAACGAAATCCAGTATTAACGGGCATGGATATATAGTTAGTAGTAGGAATAAATAATTTTAAAAAAGGATGAAACAATTGATAATCCTCAATTAATATAAAAGAGCTATATTTTTTTCATGTGGCATGTATGTGTATGTTGTGAATTACTCACATAGAACCCTTTTGAAACCTTAATCATGAAGCAAAGTTTCACCAAAAATATATGTATGACCTATCATGATTTTTGGACGATCGATCTAGTCAAAGAAAAAAAAAACAAAGTTTCCGACATTCCAGTATATGCTATTAAACGTTTTTTTCTTCATATTCATACTCTGGACACATTACGTCTTGGTCTAATTTGCCGTTTATTCTTTTGTTTCAGTTGGTTTGTGCCATATTACTCCTGACGGTTGCGTCAACTCAAGCGTTCCTCTTCGGGAAAGAACAGTAAGTGTTTTGTCCATGCCATGCTACATTGAAATTTAGCTGAAAATATGCAATTTGGGTTAATGTTTAATGAGAATCGTATGCTTTAGACTACCTATTGTATTTATCAAGAAATTTCAAAAGCGCTTACTCGTGCATTTAAAATAGATGAAAAGAATAAAAAAAGTAATAGAATTAAGGTTTTGCACGCTTCTTCACCTCCCTCCCTTAGAGGTATCTTTCATACCTGGCCAAAAAACTCAGAATAGCCAAAGACGTCAAAAATTTGGTACTTTAAACAGAAATTTTTTTACGAGGGAAATCCTTTCATTTCTTCAGAATGAAATGTGATTCAGACAACTTCTTATAGAAGCAGATACAACAAGCAAAAAGTACCTTCCTGAGGACTGTAAACCGAGTGAAACGTGACTTCAGACTTTCAGAACTGTGTTTTTGATAGTCATATGTTTTTATAATGTGAGAAAAAAATTTACATACTACAGGACTCAAGGAGAATTTTCAACTTTCTCTGCACCTTCAGATTTTTATGTTTCAATCTTATCGACACATCCGGAAAATCACCGAAGAGTGTTTACAAATTTGATAAAATTGAATGTAATTGTGAAATAATTTCAATGAAATCAAGTTATCTCGTATTAATAAACAGAGAGGGACATCGCCGTATTTTCACCTTCACTTTTTTTATTGAATTCATCACTCTGAGAATTTTCCGACGAGAAGCAACGACATTGTCATATAATGAATATGCACGTGTATCATGTGTAAACCAGCGTGCACAGTGGCGTGGCGTGAATGATCGATTATCGATACTTCCCCATTTGAATCCGTGGAAAAGGATCGATTATTAAGGTGTTCACTGCGAACGCCCTGTTAATCGATCCTTTTCCATAGGTTTAAATGATAGATCAATCGATATATCGCAAAGCACGCCACGCCACTGATGCGTGCATGGGTATTCGCTGATAAAATTCCTCGGTAGACTATGCAGATTACAAGAGAGCTGTGGTTAAGAGAGGCTATCTTATTTTTTGACTTAGATTGTAGTGCTTAATCTAAAAATTAGTAAATTCTATGTCAGTAAAAAAATTATGGAAACACGGTTCTGCTTTCTGCACCGAAAAAGTGTGAAATTTATGGCCCGTAATTGTATCAAAGATTATCAAGGAACTAAGTTCCGGGCCTAAGGCACTAGACTCACTAAATTTTGTTTAGCTGATGCATCTAATTTTTATCCATTCAGAGCGCCAGGTACTCATCATTTACATCATTAAAATATAAACAAGTTTACACTGCATACTGATGAGTGTAATTTAGAAAGGGTAAGGATAGTAAATTACGACAATCCTCCTCGAGATCTTCAAGGTGAAATACATTATTGCTACAAAACGTGATGAATTTAAGTATAAACATAAGTATTAATGAAATACTTAATCTCGTAGATAGATACATACTGCGACGCGATCAAGAAGGCTACAAGAGAAGAATAACCAGTTGCATTTTTCACAGTAAATTAATTTTCAGCAAGCCATAGCTGGCGCACACGTACTGAAATTTTTGAGTCTCCACATTAGTGACAAAAACTATTCAAATAAGACCTCTAAGGGTAGCTAAACTTACACCAAGGATCGTTTTAGTTTAGTTATCCAGTACAAATGAGGAAAACGCTCTTACAATTCCACAGTTTTCAATTCACTTGTGTGAAATTTAGATACCAACAGTTAGTTATTATTGCCTGTTTACTCAAGGTTCAATGAAATCATATTTGTCAATACCCTTGTTTTGGCTCAACTGCACTGTGTCCTTTCAAGAACTAGGTTAAATATACAGGACTTTATTAGCCAAAAGCACTGGAATTAAGCTAAGTTTGTGGTTCATTCATGGCTAAGGCATTATGTGATTAATCTAGGACCAAAGCAGGAGTGATTGCCAGTATAGCTCGACACCTGTCTAAAGATCACAAGGAGCATGTAGTGTCGCATGCAACGACGAAAAAGGACGAGACAATCACAACGACCAAAAGTCCTCAAAGTCATCAAAGTGCTCCACACTTTATCGAGTTTGTTCTTGGTCCGCAAACAATTACGACGATTTACAACCACTCCAATGCAGCCAGTAAAACGTAACGTTGTCTTTACGATATTTGCAGCCGCGTGTCACAGTATCTCATGGCTTTATAATTAGCATTCGTCATTTCGTCATTTTAACGTCCAGCTTTCTCGTTTGCGATTACTTTAAATAGTCATAACGTGTGTGTATATATATATTTATAGCGTTTTCATTTCCTTAATGTATGATTTTGTTCCGATGCAGACTTTGCCCTCATTTAAAGAATACCATTTTGATGACTTAGATGGGCTTATGTGCAGAAAAAAAAGAACTTGTCACAACATAAAATTTTGATTTTTCAGTCATCAAGTAAAAACCGAAGGTGTAAAATATTTTGTAAATAAATAAACAGAATTGTAAATTGAGTTTTCATGTATAAAAACCGAAAGTATTCCGAAATCCCCGAACAATTAAGTTTCACTGCTTTTATCGGTATTTGACCTGAAAATGTATATACATCAAATACAATGTCAATAGTTCCATATACTTAAATACTCTGTAGAAAATTGAACCAATAGTTAAATGCTTGTAGTATTTTCCATAAATCTTTATTAATAGAACTAAAATTAAAGTACATACATACATAACTTAGTTTAAAAATGATCGTATCCTTCAAGAACACCATAGTTTCTGTTGATTAATAAGATTATGTGTATATTCCTTTAATTTAATTAAAAAAACTACATCGTTTAGTGCTTGCTGGTTGCGTTTGAGTAGTGCGTTGTTTTAGTTTCTTGTTTATAACTGTGACTTTCGACGTGTTGCTCAATTAATGGATGTTTCAGGTTTTTTCATCAAGTTTGCAGAATTTTACAAGTAGTTGTTTAGGGTAAACAATGTCAAAAAACAAGAACACAAAACTTGAACTTGACTTTTATCTTTAACTGTATGCAATTCCTTATCCATGCTTGCTTCTTTTTCAACAGCTTCGCAAATGTGGCAACATTGTGAACATGAATAGTCCAACAAGAGGACAAGACGAAGGATTAGACTTTTTTGGAAATTAGTTTCGCAAAAAGATTCGAATTATCTAGATCTTTTGTTCCTATTTTCGGCGACAAACATACTCATGACTAACATCTCCCTCCATCACGCTTCACGGCAGCTGTAGTACATAACATATAAGATTTGCGATTACGTGAACTGGACGGACTGAAGGCGTGACAGGCATTTACTTTATATTACTTTGGCCACATATTTTTTATTTATCTCAGGCGATTTTGAAAGTGTCCCGCATTTTCAAGTTGGTTTTTCCCGAAAATTTTTTGACCCTGACTCTGTAAAATAGTATGACGACTATTCCAGGAGTAGTTTGGATAAATCTTCATAATTTGAAAAAAAAAATAAAATAAAAAATACTTTAAGAACTAACCGCATTGTTGTATATAATAAAGTGTACCTTAATATTTTCACTCTCCAATGCAGTTTTTGTAGCAAAAGTGCTACAATGTGTGTAGAGTTGTGGAAATGAAATCAGACAATGTTGAGCAATATTGCCGCAATATTAATTGAAGTATATTTCAACAAAATTGCCAGGTAAAATTGAAAAGAAAAGAAAAATATTCTGGAAATTTTGACGCATTTTAGTTCAAATAAATTTTAACTGCAAAAACGGCACCTCATTGATAAGCAGTTGAAAAGTTTTACGGATTAAAAGACGTTAAGTGAATTGAATAAAGTCGGGATGGAAATCATTTTCCATATAACTTATTTCAGCAGGATATACGTTTTAGAGGAGTTACACTCTTGAGCTCATCCCTTCGAATCAATGTTCGGATTCAAAATTTATCAGAATCATTGATGAATTTGTTTTGCAATTTTTAATGCGATTCTCTTAAAACTGCAAAAATTCCACTTAATGTCTTCATCTGTGATTATTTTCGACTAGGAATAGATGAGACTATAGAGTGTTTCCAAAGATTCCAATATTTTAAAAGTAATACTACGAAGTATTTCACATTCGCACAAAAGATAAATTGTCCTTTGCATAATTTCTTCCTATTTAAATTGAAACATATTTTTATTTTTTGTTTTCAGTGTCCACATAAAGATTCACTTACCAGAGCCTCATCACGAGGAACACCATGAGGAGCACCACGAGCATCACGATCACGACGACCACGGTCCACCAAAGAGCTTCAGCAGCGGGGGCGGCGGCGGCGGCCCACCCCCGAGTTACGGTGGCCCAGTCCTAGGTGGCGGAGACGATCATCACGGATCTGGCGGCCCCTCCGGAAGCTACGGACCCCCAAGCGGAGGTCCATCCAGCAGCTACGGACCACCCTCCAGCAGCTACGGCCCACCCGGACACGGAGGACACGATGACCACGGTCCAGGAGGCGACTCTGGTTTCGGCGGAGGTTACGGCGGCGGCGACATCGGTGGTGGACACGGTGGATCCTCCTACGACTCCAGCGGCCCAAGCAGCTTCGGAGGTTACGGACCTAGCTCAAGCGACGGACACGGCTCTTACGGCGGATCCTCCGGCCACGACAAATTCGGCGGTGGCTCGTCTTACAGCGGTGGTGGCGGCTCAAGCTACGACAGTGGAAGCCTTGGCAGTTACGGAAGCGGTGGTCACGGTGGCTCAAGCTACAGCAGCGGTGGACATGGTGGCTCAAGCTACAGCAGCGGCGGGTTCGGAGGTGGCAGCAGCTACAGCAGTGGAGGCCACGGTAGCTTCGGCGGCTCAGGTGGATACAGCAGCGGTGGACACGGTGGCTCAAGCTACAGCAGTGGTGGACACGGTGGCTCAAGCTATAGCAGTGGTGGACACGGTGGTGGCTCAAGCTACAGCAGCGGAGGATACGGAGGTGGCAGCAGCTACAGCAGTGGAGGTCATGGAAGCTTTGGCGGCGGCTCAAGCTACAGCAGCGGTGGACATGGTGGTTCAAGCTACAGCAGCGGTGGTCACGGCGGTGGCTCAAGCTACAGCAGTGGAGGCTACGGCGGCTCAAGCGGTGGCCACGGAAGCTACAGCGGTGGCGGAAGCAGCGGATTCGTCGGAATTAGTGGAGGTCATGGTTCAAGCAGCTACAGCAGTGGAGGCCACGGCGGCAGCGGTGGTTACGGAGGATCTAGTGGAGGATACGGTGGCTCATCCGGTGGTTACAGCAGCGGCGGCAGCCACGACAGCTACAGCAGCGGTGGTCATGGCGGCAGCGGTGGTTACGGTGGATCCAGCGGTGGGTACGGTGGATCTAGCGGAGGTCACGGTGACGACAGTTTCAACGACGCCGGATACAGTTATGGTGGCGGTGACACAGGTCACAGCAGTGGAGGTGGTTTCAGCGGTGATCACAATGATCTCCCTTACCATAAGAAATAAGCACTTTCATAAGACTGCCATTAATGATATATCGTTTCCTCTCTCCTCTCACTTGTTCCCAATTGTTTTCTCTTAGAAGATATGCCAAATGTACCTCGAATCCAGATAAATCGGCATGTACCAAAGTTACTCATCATGCTCTTTAGATAAGTTTCCTTTATTTGTGATATTTTTGTACATTCGTGTGACGACCAAAACCTCATTTGTTCCGATGCAAAGGCAAAGTAAAAAACCATGTAGTTGTCTACAGTTGTGACTTTTCAAGAAAATTAGCACGTAACAAGAGAGAAATTATTTTGGACTGATTAGTACAATGTAAGTACGTTCTGAGCTTGATACTCTATGATTAAACTATATCAGCAGATCAGACATGTGCACAAAATATAATCAAAATATGTTTCAATATTGTGAGGATTTTTTTATATTTTATTTCGTTTGGGATTGATCCCGGTATACGTGAGATTGATTACTGCATTCAATCAGAATACTTTAATTTTTAAGATATGAATCATCAATGCTTTTTTTCTGTCTGTCCACTCGAATCGGCCAATGGAGATGTTTGGTTCTTACAGATATGCAAATTAGTGTTTAACTCCGATTTTACCCAAAAATGTAACCGAATGTTGCCGTTTGATGATTTCAATGATTTTATCTTCAAGGTGTCTCCACATTAGAGCATTGTAAATTTTCACTCCATCTTTTCAGAACTTTTCGAAATCCTCTTCTCACTCTCCGGAACCAAAATTCAGTCATTGAGGCTAAACTCTCCAAACTTTCAATTAATTTACCTGATTATGTTTGATTAAATTGAATTTTCTCTTCGCCATATTTTTATGAAATATATTCATTTCGTTCACTTCATGATGTAATCGGTTCATCTATATTAAGTTGAAATCAAAAATGATCAAAATGCACAAAAGTGTAATACCGGAACAAATAGCTCTCTATTTTTGCATAAAAAATCACCTTGTTGTAAAATTTGTATTTTTGTTATTGTTTTTATTTTTGTATATATTAGAAGTTAATAAATTAATTGCCATGTTTTTTTAAGGATGCTAATATGTTTATTTTCACCCATCTAATTCCAATGCTTAAAATATTAATAGATTGCTTAAAATAATAATATCTCTAGAAGAGAAGAGAAAAAAAAGTTTCATAGGCTGAAAATAGATAGATGCGTATAATCAGCGCTTTGGAACAGAATGACAGTGTGCTCTCGAGTTGAAAAAGCGCCCAGCAAAATGGGATACAAATTAACGTACTCTTAAGTCACGAAATTGCATGCCTACCACTTTTGAAGGCGCTCAATAAAACGTATCACCGTCGCTATGATTGGTATCGAGTGAAACCTCGTTAAGTCTTTTTTTTAAGAAATAGATAACTGACATAACGAATGATGCATTATTCATTCTTGCTCTAAATATATGCTAACATCATTTAAGAATGAAAAAAATAGTGATAACGTGGGTATTACAAGTTTTATGATACTGTATTTTTAAAGTAAGATAATGACACAAACACAGTACCATTTGGAAGCATATATATACAGTTTTAAAAGGAATGGCTGGATATTTTCATCCATGAATTTTTCTTGGATTGAATCAGTCTCTAAACTAAATATTATCATAAAATTCCATTTCATTTAAGTATGAATTTGTTCGAGAGATTGTAGAGTGGAAAACTATTATTAAATCGACCATAGTATGGGGGTGTTCCATATGGATTTTTAAATCACAATAAAAAAACAATAATAGTGGAATTAGTATCATTTGAACGTGTCAAAATTATCATCATCAAAATACCACCATCATCGGTTACAGCTACTTACCTTTAATTAAGAACTTTTAAAGAGCTCCACATGCTTTGGCAATCACAATAATAGTTTACCTCAGTATTCAGCAAAGAATTATCAGGAGATATGAAAGAAAATTTGTATCAAAAATATAATAAATCAAAATATAAATTTTAATTTTCTCTTTGAAATACATTCAAGAGCATTTAAATTCCATTTCTAGAGGTAAATCAATGTTTCAATTTATGTAATAATAATTACAAAATAATATAATAACATCTCGTAATAAGATTGTGGGTGGTATGAGAGAATAAAATGCATTTCGGGATTAAATAATATACTAGAGACCGGCATTGCTTGGTTACATAAAGTTAAAGTTAACCCAAAGTAGAGCGCTAATTAAAACTTAAACAATAGCGAAGGATGAGTGAAATAAAGAGGAAGTAGACCCACGTTAGCTAACAGTGGCCGACCGACCGGCGACCATGTGTAACCATAAGGCGATCCTCGGGCCGGCAATAAGAGGTACGTGTAATCTCGTGTGAGGGAGTTAATTTGCTTCGAATACTTTAGCTCGTATTACTTTCAGATTTGCGGCACTGACAATAAGATTTTCAGATAATTTTTTTGCGGATGATGAGTTGCGAACCCTCTTACTTTCTCTCACTGCACCGATTAGCCGTGCTGCTCCTTCCATTCCCTCAGTGCCTCTTTCCGACTCGCTGGATTTTAAACGAAATCTTCCCGTGGGTTTTAACCAGAGACAAGTTTTAACTTGAGATTGCCTAATGGAGTGAACCTTTCGTTCGTGAAAACGTAAGCCGAGGAGCAACTCCATTTGCTTTTTTGCACCCCAATATATCACAAAGAAAACCACAGTCATGATAAAGGATAAAAATGAAAAACAATTGAGTAAAATTGGACGAATTAATAATAATAAAAATTCAACAAGTCTTCGATATTGATGCCGAAAATCTAAATATACATTCCTAATTTTTTGGAATGGAAATTTCCTGTCAATGCTCATTTTTGTATGGCAAATCATTCAACGCATTATTTTAAAAACGTTTTTTTTTTAAAAAAAAAAATTTGGCATCAACATGACTGCAATATAGTCTTTAAGTCGCTATCAGCCAAAAGCGGACAACTACTTATGACAACCATTACTATGACTACAATTACTGAACTTATGAGGACCCATCATCAGTAGTAAGAGGAAGTCATCAGAACGTCTAGATGATACATATATCTGGGCATAGTTCTACAGAATCAAACCAAGTCGTATCAAGCTTAATCCGAGAAAAAGAGACTGGTAGTGGATAACATTTTGCAATTAGAAACCATAATTCCTGGCTCACCCTAAAAATACATATAACCCTTATGTGTATAGGAAAGTTGGTTGTATTTACGTTATTTCGAAACTGAGCCATAAATTGTAGATCCTAATTACACAATGTTGTCCAAAAACTCTTCCATTCAACGTTATAGTTTAACGACTTTTTCACGATCAAAATATCGTTTCCCGACTTTGAATCTGTATCAGGAGAAAATTTACGTCAAGTTGAATTCAACACTACTTGTAGCTAATTTATTTCTGAAAAGTGACTGGGTGCACTGAAAAAAAATATGGTTTGAGTGAAAGTGCTATGAGTATGGTATTCACTAACTGACTCCGCATGGTGGCAAGAGATAGTGAGACTTCAAATCGTATTCACCAAAATTATGGTAAATGCTACTAGATTTCTGAATAATTTTACCCTACAGCATCACTGCGTCGAAAATCAAATAGACTGATAATAGAATTTACCATACGTATGATACAATTTGCCATATTTTTTTTCAGTATGTGCATACCTGTTAAACTCTGTTTACTTGCCAACTACCTGTCATCAGACAGTGACAAATTTATATAGGTTGGAGTTCACCTTGCCTGCCTTTAAGTGGTCGTCTTATTAAACACGACGAACATTCATCAACGATTCTGCCGCGTTAAGGAAAAACGCCGTAAGAACATTCGAGAGTTGCCAAATTTCCTCCGATAAAATGTCCATTTTTGAGGAAATTTATGAATATTTTCCCTTGAAATCTTCAGGACTTTTCAATGGAAATGCAAGAAAATTATCTGAAAAATTGGAAGAAAAATATTCATAAGTTTACCAGGAAATTCGTGTTTTATCAAAGGAAATTTGACAACGCCTAAAGGTTCATACGGCGTTTTTCCTTAGCACGGCAGAATTAAGAAGGCTGACGGGGAAGGTAGGTTGGAAGAAATGCAAAGCGGCTTAAAATTACCACGAAATAAACCTGAGGATCGTGTGTTCATTGTTACTACACAGATTTAAGCTGCCGCGTTACGGGAAAAAAACCCGTATGATCGCCCGGAAGTTGCCAGATTTTCTCTGAATATTTATTTATTTTCGGGGAAATTGTTTGAAATTGCCATCCGAAATTTTTAAATTTTCTAGTTAACCTGTGGACAAAGTTCGTACAAAATTTCAACAGATAATTGGTATTAAGTCATAAAATATTTGACTTATCTTCAGCAAAAATGTGGCAGCTTTTGAATGCTCATATGGCGTTTTTTCCTAAACACGGTGATATTGCAAGGGAAAGTAATTGGAGAGGCCGGAAGAGTGAGAGAACTCATCAAGTTGTCACGCTAAACTCATCATCCTCCGATTAATGCAAGAGTCATTGATAGGGAGTGTGCGTCACTCGTACTTTTTTTGACTCTCGATGGCTGTGGGGTGCAGCGGCTCCCAGAAGTTAACGATCAAAATAGACACGATGCGGAAGAATGGGCGAGTGGCGGTATTTGAGTAAGTATTAAGTGTCCTTTTGGATTGTCGACTCGTGAACAATTCAATCGTGGCAAGAGGCTATGTTGCCGGGTTCACTTTTCTGATTATAGTCATAATTCACTTCAATTGAGGAGCTTGGAGGACAAGCTGCATAAAGGTAGATCTTGCTATTACGAGATATACGTGCTTGAAGTTTGGAAATTACATGAATTTTTGTGGCGGAAAGAAATTTCAAACTGACTTTTTAATGCTTAAAAGTTGAAATTTGAGAGCGAATTTTTCACAGAATATGCATCAAGACTAGGTTCACTTTAAATCAGTTAAATCTCATTCTTTTTTCAAGAACTGCACTTATGCGCCTCGTCTTTCAAGCCCCTCAATTGTCAGTTTGAATGTTTCATGACGTTATCATTTTTAGAAAGTTGGGCGTATCTCAAAATAGTCCGAATCACATGCAAAAAGTGTTGGAAAATCAAAGCATATTGATTCCTGCGCATACTCCTCTAAAAGGCAAAAGATCTTCAAATGGTGCCGACAAAATTACAAAAAAAAAAAAAAAATGCAAAAATTAACTTATCGGAAATTGATTTTTCGTTTCGTTTTCTGCGTGAATTTAACAAAATTTTTATTGGGGAGAGGGTTGAATTGCCAAGGCACCAACTTGAATGAAAAAGTATTGAAATCTGATTACGCTAGTGCGTGAAGATATTATTGCATAATAATTTAAAGAATGTTCAGTTTTCAAGACTAAAGATGAAAAATGAAACTTCAAGTTACTTTTTTTATTCGCTAATTTTTCGGTTGATTCAACAAATTGATCTACATATCTATCATGCAAAATTAAGATATACTTGAAATTCATCCAAATAATCCTACGGACGAAATATTGAAAAATGTGACCAAGGGTCAGTTTTCCTTGGATTGTCATAAAAAATTAGCCAAGGAATTATGGTTTTTTGTTTTTTTTTTGTTTTTTTTGTTTTTTTTTATGGCACTTGAGTGATTAAACATATCTAACTAAAAACAAGGCAACTCTGTGTGATGGGCAAGTGGCTCGAGACGCTTCCAGTTGAGTTGAAAGTTTATTGCTTATGAATTTGGAATGATTTAAGGACCACAATATTTCCTCACTGAAATAATGAATCCGTGCGATGAATCTCTATCGTAGGGCCTATGCAAGTTTTCCTACAGTTCATTTTCCCTGTCACGATTTTCATGATTTTTTCTCTAACTGACTAGTTTGTTCAGAGTTTCATTTGATATAGGTTGTTGAATATTTTAAATCAATCAACATCTGTACGGATAATGCGCGCAATAGGTTTGGAGACTTAAACGCACGGTAAAGAAAATAAGAGCATTCCACAGTTAACATCGAGCCTTCAGATTTAGACGTATTTCTGCTAAATGGAACCAGAGACAGGTGGGGATGAAAGGGTATGCTTGTTAGTCGAAGACCG